CAAACCAAAACTATTGTTCTATGGTTGTGTTAGTAAAGGGATGCTCCCTCCCCCGGCCAGCCCCGTTGCCCCCCATTAGCTGTTTCCAGGCCCCCCCTTCCTGGCCAGCACCACTCCCTTCCTGTCCGGTCCTCCTCCTCCCCACCCATGAAGTGTGTCCGTTTTTTTTTTTTAAATGACTACCTGGTAACCCCTAGCAGTGATCCTATCCCTGTGATTACCACAGAGATTTAAACTGAGAAGCAACTTGCCTCCCTCCAGCCCCCAAGTTCTTGGAGTGTTTTTTTTTGCTCAACAACTTTGGGTCCCCCCCCCTTTTTTTTCCCTTCAACAGAATATTTTCTTGGTGTTTTTTTGGGGGGGAGAGGGGCGGTATTCGGTATTTTTGTTTCAACCATCTTGCAACCCTAGTCCACATCCTGTCCTCCTTGGCTAGGTCATTCATAACAACAGGCGACCTTGAGGTAAGCAAAGATCAGTTGACTCCACCTCACTGGGAGAAGAAAAGGTTAGGAAGGAGCAACAGGAAAAACAAACCATTGAATTGAATGTAAAATGTACAGATCATGTAAAAAAACCCACACGTGTTGCTGCCTAGCTCCTTTATTCACAAAAGCTCGAACAGGTCTCAGCCATAGACCCTTCTCACTGGTTTGTTCTCACACAATAGAAAAACTGCACGTTTACTTAAGGATCAGAGAGTGCTTGTGTAAAACCAAATCCCAGTTTGCTTTGTGGTTACTAGCCATTTAGGCTTTATGTAAAAGTTACTAAATACATATGACTTGAGATAAGACATTTCTTTAAATGTACGTGGCTACACATAAACATCTTCCAGCCAATCTTATTTAAGTATATTGGTGACAAAGAAAGGCAAAATGGGTGAGGCCGTTGTCAAAAGAGGCACTGCTAGATTGTGGGATCCTAATAAACCATGGTGGTTAGATATGAATGTCTTTATTGTCTGGAGAGCATAGAGGCTCAGCTTTCTCGTGGTTTGATGCATTTGCTTCTAGGCTTGTCAGGCTGGGACCTCATCACATCATTCCAACTAAGCAGCTGTTTTTTTATCTGAATTGTGACATGACTTCAGTATCTGTTATCTTGGCAATCACTAAAGCCAGTGGTTTTACTTTCTGATAGCATTTTAAACTCCCATCTTTCAAGGGGTTTAAAGCAACAGTCTTCACCTTTAATGTTCTGTGAGAGATCTGCTGTTACAGTCATTTCAGAACTGAAGCAGAATAAAAGGAAAAATGCATATTAAGTGCATTATGATAGCTGTTATCCTGGGCCACATCCAGAGACGAGCCTAAGCTGGCAAAATGGTAGTTTAGTTTTACTTACACATTCTCACACACCCCTGTTAGTGACCTTTCTTACTATATTCCTTTTCTGTGGCCTTAGCATATGAGTTTTACTAGTTTGAACTCCCTTTGGTCCCTTAGGGTATGTATAGACTACATGGCTCCGTTGACAGAGCCATGTAGATGAGTTTACTAGACATAGGAAAATGAAGCGGCGATTTAAATAATCGCCACTTCATTTACATCAAAATGGCCGCTGCACTGTGCCGATCAGCTGTTTGGCGGCACAGCGGGACAGTCTGGACGCGCCACGGTCGACGAGGGAAGCCTTTGTCGATCGCTCCGGTAAACCTCATACCAGAGCGGTTGACAAAGACTTTGCTTGTCGACCGCCTCGCGTCCAGTCTGCCTTGCTGTGCCATCAAACAGCTGATCGGCACAGCGTGGCGGCCATTTTGATGTAAACGAAGCGGCGATTATTTAAATCACTGCTTCATTTTCCTATGTCTAGTAAACTCATCTACATGGCTCTGTCAACGGAGCCATGTAGTCTATACATACCCTAAGGGACCAAAGGGAGTTCAAACTAGTAAAACTCATATGCTAAGGCCACAGAAAAGGAATATAGTAAGAAAGGTCACTAACAGGGGTGTGTGAGAATGTGTAAGTAAAACTAAATGTACCCCCTACTTTCTTCTGACTCTTTGCCATTTAAATGACCATAGGGTAGACTCCCTTTTATATTGGAAAATGGGTGTAATTAAGTCAGAGTCTGGATGAGGAGCTACACAAATGTACATAAAATGAGGATCTGATCTTCTAAGTGCAAGAGTCTCCCTTACCCTAACTGAATTTGGCCCTACATGTAGACTACTGAAATTGCTTTCAGGCCCAGTACATTTTTCAAAGTACTAGCCCTGGACTAGTGCTGGAAAGAAAATAAATGTCCATCACTGTATTTGCCCCTCATTCACCCTGTTTTTTAGTGCATTTACATTGGCCATGAACTGTCAGATTCTTGCAGCACACCTTGGTAAAGATGAAGAGGAGAGCGCTTAAAACATGGCACAAGCTATAAAATGCAGGCACTTTGAGTCCGTTCAGTTTTATTGGGGCTTTGAATTTAAAGCTTTGTGTCCCTGGAAATGTCCTTGAAATGCAGGAATGATTACTAGTTTGTAAAAGATTCATTTTGACCTAAGTGCAACTGATTGCAGGTGCTAGCCCAGCTTCTACAACCCATGTAATATTCCATACAGATGGGAGAAAGCAGCAAAACATCCTCTAGGAAAGGGGTTTCCCTGCCCCTGTGGGGGAGGCACCCAGCTGACTTCACTGTGAGATTAATCTTTGCTAGGTTGGCATGTCCAAACAAGGCAATTCAGCGGTACTTATCTCTTCCAAGGCTGATAGATGCTTCTGTGTCAGGAACCATTGTAGTGCATAACCTAATAAATCTTTTTCCAGTCTTAAAAACTGAAATATATAAGCAATATAGAGTCTTTTTTTAAAAGTCACTGTCAATTTAATTCTAGTAGCTTAAAGTAACGCATGGTAAGTCACAGAACTATCCTTGCCTTAGGGCCTTGCACCTGATATAAGAAGTGCTCCTTGTTCTTTGGCTTTCTTGCTGGTTTGAGGCTCTGGGCTCTGACTCTGATCTGGATCTTCCACCTAAAGTCTGAAGCAGCATTGCTGAGTAGATGCTCACTGCAAGACACAGATGGGTTACTGTGGAAAGGAGGCATTCCCTTCCTCCCTCCTCCCCCCATCTCCAGTTACACTACTCGTTGCGTTGCGGGCCACAGAATTCTATGGGTTCCTCTTCGTTCAGATGCTTGTGATGTACATGACTGCAGGAGGGGCTTGTTTTTCAGGCTCTTGGTTAGTTGGCACTTCAGTGTATTGGTATCCGGTGGGGTTATTGGTGGCTAGCTTTGGAGCTTCTTTCAGTTTGTTCTTACTGTCCAAAGCATAGAAACTGAAACCCATGAAGAGCGCAGCTGACACCATGAAGAAGCTGGAGGCATAAAAGACATAACTGAACTGGCCAGTTATATCCACCAGAAGACCTGAAATAGAAACAGAGCTCAGCCAGAGCAAAGTTGCGCACCAAAGAATAGTATCTTACTTTGACACAGTCCCAAGGGATCCAGGGCAGTTCAGAAACTGCTGCATAAGCAGCACTCAGGTCACTGAAATACAGTTGCCTCTGAAGTGGAGCAAAGCAGCTGTTTAATAGCACACACAAGAGCTACCTAGCATGGTAGGGCAAAGTGGTGATATCTTATCCAAGCAGAATGCAATTGGGTACTAAAAGCTGATGTAGACACTCCCCCACAGACTGATTACACTGCAGCTGGGAACAAGCCTGCCTACACAGATTCGAGCATCTCAGCTCAACTTAGCACGAATACAGTGGCCTAGAACTGGCAGAGGCTCTGCTTAGCCATCTGAAGTCAGACTTGGGGCCAGGTGGGTCCAAGCTCAGGAGCTTTGTGCAAGCCTCCGCCAGTGCTGAAACCACCATGCTGCTGTTTTTCAATGCACTATCTTGAGCTGATCTGCGTGAGTCTGTCTGCCCAGGCTGGAAGGCATGCTTCTAGGTGCACGGTAGATATCTTGTTGGGGAGGAGGAATAATGAAGAAATGAGTGCATAGATTCATAGACTTTAAGGTCAGAAGGGACCATTATGATCATCTAGTCTGACCCCCTGCACAGTGCAGGCCACAGAATCTCAACCACCCCTCTTAGAATAATCCTCTCACCTATATCTCAGATATTGAAGCCTTCAAATACTTTGAAGGACCCAACATGCAGAGAGTCCTTCAGCTGTGATCTGTGCCCAATGCTACAGAGGAAGGCGAAAAACCTCCAGGGCCTCTGCCAATCTACCCTGGAGGAAAATTCCTTCCCGACCCCAAATATGGCGATCAGCTAAACCCTGAGCATGTGGGCAAGACTCACCAGCCAGACACCCAGAAAGTTCCCTATAGCAACTCCTATCATCCCTCCATTGACCTATTTCCAACTGATAATGAATGGTCAATTAGTTACCAAGATCATGTTATTTCATCCAACCATCCCCTTATCATAGAATCATAGAACTGGAAGAGACCCCAGAAGGTCATCAAGTCCAGCCCCCCGCTCTAGGCAGGACCAATCCCATCTAAATCAACCCGGCCAGGGCTTTGTCAAGCCGAGACTTAAATACCTCTAGGGATGGAGACTCCACTACTTCCCTAGGTAACCCATTCCAATGCTTCACTACCCTTCTAGTAAAATAGTTTTTCCTAATATCCAATCTGGACCTCTCCCACCACAACTTGAGACCATTGCTCCTTGTTCTGCCATCTGTCACTACTGAGAACAGCCTCTCTCCATCCTCTTTGGAACCTCACATAAGGATGTGATGTCATGGCTACTGCCATTTGCATTTTTTTCACCTGAAATAGCACTTATAAAAAATATTGCTTTGAAATAGTCCCCAAAAGGCGGGGTCTGCTTCTTGTCGGAATCAGGCCAATGCTCAATACATGTGGGTTAAACTCTTTGTGTGGCCTTAGGACTTGAAAGAAAGCATAGCTGTGCTTTCTCCTGTTTCCACCAATGTTTGCTCCACAAGAGACCAAGTCAGTAATTAAGTGTGGGGGGGGGGGGAGGACCGAGTTTACAGCTCATGCAATTCATTTATTTGTTTTGTTTCAGCAGCCATGGGCCTTGAACCCTTGCTGCTGATAGTCACCAAAGATTGGAATGTGTTGTCATGTAAAATCTGATATAAGAGGACTAAGCAAATAACAGAACAATTTGTACCAATCAATTTGTTTTCAATGCTGAAAACATTTTAAAATTCCCCGTGTGGTGAAGATGGGGGAAAACCTTCAGAGGAACAGATATTAGCTAATGAATGCTCTTAAAGTGCTGTAAAAATACAAAGCCTTGAAGGGCTGAGAGCAATGCTGACCTGAAAATGTTGATATTTACAAGAACCTAAGAATGGCCATACAAGGTCAGATCAAAGCTTCATCCAGACCAGTATCCTTTCTGCCGACAGTGACCAATGCCAGGTGCCCCAAAGGGAGTGAACTGTACAGATAATGATCAAGCGATCTCTCTCCTGCCATCCATCTCCACCCTCTGATAAACACCATTCCTTACCCATTGTGGCTAATAGCCATCAATGGACTTAACCTCCATTAATTTATCTAATTCTCTTTTAAACCTTGTTATAGTCCTAGCCTTCACAACCTCCTCAGGCAAGGAGTTCCACAGGTTGACTGTGCGCTATGTGAAAAAAACTTCCTTTTATTTGTTTTAAACCTGCTGCCCACTAATTTCATTTGGTGGCCCTTAGTTCTTATATTATGGGAACAAGTACATAACTTTTCCTTATTCGCTTTCTCCACACCGATCATGATTTTATAGATCTGTATCATATCCCCCCTTACTCTCCTTTTTTCCAAGCTGAAAAGTCCTAGTCTCTTTAATCTCTCCTAATATGGGACCTGTTGCAAACCCCTAATCATTTTAGTTGCCCTTCTCTGAACTTTTTCTAATGCCAGTATATCTATTTTTAGATGAGGATACACAGTATTCCAGATGTGGGCATACCATGGATTTATATAAGGGCAATAAGATATTCTCCGTCTTATTCTCTATGGCTGTGTCTACACTGGCACGTTCTCACGCAAAAACTCTTTTGCGGAAGAGTTCTTGTGCAAAAACTCTTCCACGAGAGAGCGTCTACACTGGCATGTGCTTTTGCGCAAGAGCATCCATGCCAGTGTAGACACTCTCTTGCGCAAGAAAGCTCTGATGGCCATTTTAACCATAGGGGCTTCTTGCGCAAGAAATTCATGTTGCCTGTCTACACTGGCCTCTTTTGGAAGAGCTCTTGCGCAAGAGGGCTTATTCCTGAGAGGGAGCATCAGAGTTCTTGCGTACGAAGCCCTGATTTTCTACAGTACAAAGTCAGTTTACTTACGCAAGAACACGTGGCCAGTGAAGACAGGCAGCATGTTTTTGCGCAAGAGCGGCTGTTTTCACGCAAGAAGGTGCCAGTGTAGACGTAGCCTATCCCTTTTTTAATGATTCCTAACATCCTGTTTGCTTTTTTGACTGCCACTGCACACTGCAGTGTCTTCAGAGAACTATCCACAATGACTCCAAGATCTCTTTCCTGATCAGTTGCAGCTAAATTAGCCCCTATCATATTGTATGTATAGTTGGGGTTATTTTTTCCAATGTGCATTACTTTACATTTATCCACATTAAATTTCATTTGCCATTTTGTTGCCCAATCACTTAGTTTTGTGAGATTTTTTTGAAGTTCTTCACAGTCTGCTTTGGTCTTATCTATCTTGAGCAGTTTAGTGTCGTCTGCAAACTTTGCCACCTCATTGTTTACTCCTTTCTCCAGAACATTTATGAATAACTTGAATAGAATTGGTCCTCAGACTCACCGTTGGGGAACACCACTAGTTACCTCTTTCCATTCTGAAAATTTACCATTTATTCCTACCCTTTGTTTCCTGTCTTTTAACCAGTTCTCAATCCATGAAAGGATCTTCCCTCTTATCCCATGACAACTTAATTTATTTAAGAGCCTTTGGTGAGGGACCTTGTCAAAGGCTTTCTGGAAATCTAAGTACACTATCTCCACTGGATCCCCCTTGTCCACATGTGTGTTAATCCCCCAAAGAACTCTAATATATTAGTAAAACATGATTTCCCTTTATAGAAACCATGTTGACTTTTCCCCAACAAATTATGTTCTTCTATGCGTCTGACAATTTTATTCTTTACTATTGTTTCAACTAATTTGCCCAGTTCCGACATTAGATTTACATTCTTTACTATTGTTTCAACTAATTTGCCCAGTACCGACATTAGATTTATCAGACTGTAATTACCGGGATCGCCTCTAGAGCCCTTTTTAAATATTGGCGTTACATTAGCTATCTTCCAGTCATTGGGTACAAAAGCTGATTTAAAGGATAGGTTACAAACCATAGTTAATAGTTCTGCAATTTCACATTTGAGTTCTTTCAGAACTCTTGGGTGAATGCCATCTGGTCCTGGTGACTTGTTATTGTTAAGTTTATCAATTAATTCCCAAACCTCCTCTAATGACACTTCAATCTGTGACAATTCCTCAGATCTGTCACCTACATAGGACAGGTCAGGTATGGGAATCTCCCTAACATCCTCAGCCATGAAGACTGAAGCAAAGAATTCATTTAGTTTCTCTGCAATGACTTTATTGTCTTTAAGTGCTCCTTTTGTATCTTGATTGTCCGGGGTCCCTACTGGTTGTTTAGCAGGCTTCCTGCTTTTGACGTACTTAAAAAACATTTTGTTATTATCTTATTTATCATGTACAAATAATTAACCTTCCCAGTAGCTAGAGATGGAAAGAAAAATACTTAAATCAGGTAGAATTCAGCTGGTATGTATGATGTTTCTTATAAGTTTTGCAGTAACATTCATAGCTTGTATGCATTAAATGTAAACATCTTAATTAATGGCACCCTTTGTAAAACTCTCTTTGCACTGGTGTAAAGTAGAAGTACAAGGGTAAAGAGCACAAAGTAAATATATTTGTACTGTTTTACAAACAGTAATAAAGCTGTGCCCTGCCGCAACACCTCCCACCAGAAGATCTCAAAACAAAGAATGAACATTAATGCCATACATCTCAGAACACTCCTGGGAGATAGCTCTCCTGTATATGTCTATTAGGGGATGATATAATGGCCCCAGAGTTTGCAGGCCTATCTTGCTGAATGCACGATAGAAGGCTGTGTTCCTGGCCTTTATAGCTGGAGCTGCACTTGTGCTGTGTCATTCCCCACTGTACATGATGTGCCATATATGTAAAGGGAAGAGAGAAACGCATCCTGATAAGCCTGGGTGGAGACAGGCTGGCATTTCACCAGCATTAGGTGACTTGTAAGGCATGGGGCATGAGGCTCATAGGAACATTAGTGCACTGACTGTCAACTCTTGATTTTTCTGTGTCTAGCATATCCTATCCAAAGTCTCTCCAGTCCCACATCATCCTACTCTGCGCTAGCCATTGGCTGGGGATCTTTCAGGTGGGGCAACCTGTTCAGGGGATTAAATTCCAGCTCTAAGCAGCAGTATGCTGGTGGCTTTTAAGCTGGCTCCCAGTGAAAACCGGCTCTGTGGAGCAACCTGCCTCCCCTCTTCCCTCCCACCCCCTGTGCAAGCCAGCTCCCCACAAGCCCCTGCTCCCCCTCCCCCCACACTGCTGCCTCTGACACAGAGGCAGTAGGGGGGTGGAGGGGCTTGTGTGTGTTTAAATGTGTACACTATCGCATCCCTAGTCCCGAGCATCCCCAGCTCCTGCTGAGTCAGGGAGTCAGACCCTGATTCACAGTCAGTACCAAGTTTTCCTCTTGACAGTCAGCCGTTTGAGTTATTTGCTGGGTTGCAACTCAGGATATTACACTGACGGGGCAGGGATACTAGGGTGGAGGCAGGCTGGCACTCCACCTAGGGTGGACTGATAAGACACCTAGGGTGGACTGTCACTTTACTAGAGGGGCTTAACACCACCTGGAGTCTTTGTTGGTGTCTGTTCTTTCTGCATAAACAGTTGCAGTATAACACAACAAATAACTCCGATGACTATGAAGAGGGATGTTGAGTAAATTGTTTCCAGGGATAATAATCCTCACTGTCAATTTATACTGCATTTTCCAGTCTGATTTATCTAGCTTCAAATCCCAGACATTGCATCATGTGACCTCTTTGTGTGCCAGACTGAGCAGCCCTTTATTATCAGTCTTTTGTTCCCGACACAGGTGCTTACAGAGCATGATCTGAGCCCTTAAACTGCCAGTGAATCAGGGCTGCTAACTCCCTTCTGACTTTCCTGTTAATGGTGCTCCCTGCCCTGGGAACCCCTGGGGTTTGGATAGCTCCTCCTTCCCACCCTCATTACATTCCCAAATGTCTGTCATCAGAGCCCTAATACCCCCTGTCCTTTTCCCAGCCTGATGTCAGTGGATCTCCAATAACAGCTTTGCACTCTCACCTGTGAGTGGGGGTCCAAGGAGGATGGTGACGCTCTCCAGGATGGTGAAGAGCCCTAAGGCACTCGAGAACCTGTCCATCTCCACCACGTCCATCAGCACCTGGAATATCAGCGCCCCGACGCCGCTCATGGACACACTGTAGATGAGGCAGTAGAGAATGAGCACGCTGAAGTCGGCTGAGATGACACAGATGAGATTGCTGAGCCCGTTGAGCAGCACGGCCAGGCTGAACAGGTACGTCCGCTTCCCGGTGAAGATGTTGAGTCCTGCCAGCAGCCCAGCCATGGGGCGCATGAAGATGTTGATGAATCCGATGATGGAGATGAGGAGGGCAGCCTTGCGCTCTTCCACCCCGTTCCTGATGGCATAGGGCACCAGGTAGATGAGGGGCAGCACGAAGCCCATCACCATCCAAGTTACACCAATGGTGTAAATCTGGTAGCCTTTGTTTTTGCAGAAGATATCAAAAGCCAGGTACTTCTGCAGAGTCCTCCTGCAAGCAGCAAACCTGGCCTGGTGTGGGGTCTCCACCTGATGAGGGGTAGCTCCATTGGACAGCTGTGCATCTTCAGCCGAGTTGCCTGGCTCGTATCCAGGGCTGGGCTGCAGCGGTGATGCAGGAGGCCCAAGCTGGACTGGTCTCATAATGGCCCCACAGACACAGCAGTTCAATAGTACCCCCCCAAAGATGAGGAAAGTGTTTCTCCAGCCCATCTCATCCAGCAAGTACTGAGAGATCAATGGCCACAGCGTGAGGCCGATGGAGGCACCGGTGGATGCAAGGGCATTGGCCAAAGCCCGTCGGCGCACAAAATAGTAACCCAGCACAGTCACTCCTGCTTGGAAGCCAAAACAGGATCCTAGACCTTTTTAAAAAAAAAGAGAGGAAAAAAAAGGCAGTATTTTATATTCCGGTTTAGTGCCTTTGGCTGGAAAGACCCCCAGGCACCTCTTCTTCCACCCTGCACTACTTCCCCTCCTGGGGTGTGGGATGGCCACTGTACAACAGCACATGCAGAAATGCTACTTGGTAGCTCAAGATGGGAGCTTAGTGTTCTCAAACGTCACTGCACCACTAACCCTTTCTGACAACAAAAGTTACTTCAAGACCCCAGGAGGGGGGACCAAAGCTGAGTCCACTCTACCCAGAGGGTCAGAGCCAAAGCCCGGGGGCTTCAGCCCCAAGTGGGACGTCTGTGATCATGAGCCCTGCCATCAATGACTGAAGTCCTCAGGCTTGGCCTTTGGCCCAAGGCCCTAGCGAGTCTAACACCAGTGTTGGTTCCCATTACACCCCCACACACTTTGGGGTCCTGACCCACAATTTGAGAACCACCCACTTAAATGAAGCTGCAGGCAGCCTTTGGCTGAGCGTACACACCTAAACTGAGATGTATCTAAGACACCCTGCTCTGGCTAGAATTGCTCTCTGATTGTTAATGCCCAGAAGTGGCCTTGACTTCCATTTTACATCTTATGCAGCCGCAGCAGCACTGTGCCGCCACAACACCACTTTGAGGCATTGGCTCATGAGGGGCTCAGAGAAAGAAGAGCCATCTGGGTTAGACCAAAGATCCATCTAGCCCAGGATCTTGTCCCCCAACAGTGGCCAATGCCAGATGCCCCAGAGGCAATGAACAGAACAGATAATCATCAAGTGATTCATCCCCTGGCACCCATTCCTAGCTTCTGGTAAGTTCCCATTTTTATTACTTCTGTCCCAACCCCCACCATGTTATTATGTTTGTTCTTAGAAAAAAGGGGTCTCCATCCCTACGTAAATATGGACACACCCAATCTATCTGGAGAACATTCCAGTTCCAGTGAACTTAGGGTCTGAAATTTACAAAACAGATATCAGACAAGATCACAAAGAAAAAACAGTTTCTTGCCATTTCAACCAGAAAGGACACTGTCTCAACGACTTAACTACCTGCATTCTGCTACAAAGACCTTTTACATCTGCACTTGAAAGGGACTCCTCTGAACTGTCATTCATACTAAAATTCGACACTCTCCGGGGGGATTGAACAAAGACCCCAACTACCTTACCCATTACCAAGATAGCTTCCCCAATTATCACCTCTAATACCATTAGCTCACAGACATCTACCTTTCCCCACCTCTAATATCATTAACTCACAGACATTTACCTTCCCTCCCCCCCCCCCCCCCCGCATCCCTCTTCTGTTCTGAAATGTGATTTGTCCTTTTCATATGTGTTCATTTTTTTAAATTGTATCCTTTGGTATATATGGTTGTGACTATTTTCTTCCACTATTTGATCTGAGGAAGTGGGTCTGGCCCACGAAAGCTCATCATGTAATAAACCATCTTGTTAGTCTTTAAAGTGCTACATAGTCCTGCATTTTGCTATAATATTTACTGATTGTCCTCATTAGGGCACTGGCTCTGATTCTTCTAATCTTTCCTGCTTGTCACATGAGTGAAGCACCTACGTACTCGTTCCTCCCTGGACTCTCGCTACATCCAAATACCAACCCCAGTGATTTCTTTGTCATGCCCTACGTCAGTACTTACCAGTAATGAAGCCGGCTGTTACGTAAAGGTGGTTGATGGACTTGGAGAAGGAGCTGGCAACCATGCCCACTCCACAGAGCAGGCCACCCAGCATTACTGTGAGCCTGCAGCCAAATCGCTCCACCAAGACGCTGCAGAGGGGCCCTACAAAGCAACCAAACAAACATCAGGGCAGGAATCAATTGGACAAGTTGTTCTGCCTTGGGTTTTACTTTGGTGGGTGCAGGAACAAAGCTCTGCTTGTTTTGAGTGCATAATATAATTTCCCCAGGATTGTCCCTCATCACACAGGGCCAGAACTCAAGTCTTCTGACTCCTCAGACTCCTGCTTCTCTTACATCAGTCAGGGAGATGACTCCCCTGATCTGATCATCTGCTGGCCATTAGGGTAAGAACAAAAAAAAAAAAAAAAAAAAAAGGATTTCCAAGTTTCTGGGCAAGAGGGGGTAGATTCTGGATAAAGCTCTTTGAATGGAGGCAGGGGGAGGTGCTTCAAATGGAATTCTTTGTGCATACGGTATAGATTCTGGGCACATTCTTGAGGAGAACATGACCTGGATTTCTGTGCCCACTGGGCATGAACTCTGGGCAGAGCTCTAGCTCCGTTTACAGCCTCTAGGAAGGGGGTTGGGACAAAGATATAATAATGACATTGCGGCTTTTAAAATGTTTTGCAATGACAAATATCTCAATCTGTCTCCAGTTCAATGCTGGGGCTCTCCCCACAAGCTCCATGGGTGCACAGGGGCTGGGAGTGGTCCACAGTGTTACTCTAAACCCCCTTTCCACTCCCACCACCAGGTTTGCTCCAAATCCAACAGAGCTTCCAGTTGGCTCCCTGCAGCACTCTGGTCACCTATAGGAGCGGAGGTAAGCCCAGGGAGGGTTCCTGTGCTGCAGGAATGAGGGACCTGTGGAGGTGAGGGGAGAATGAGGAGAAGACAAAGGGATGGAGGATGGAGACTAAAGGAAGGGGATGAGCAGATAAGTCTGGAGAAAGCAGGAGAGAACATGATGGAATGAAGCATTTGAGAGACAAAAGGAGAAAATCCACCCAACCAGGAACAGATGAACCCTTGTGCAAGTGGGCTCAGCTCTCAGAGACTTCCCACTTTCACCCAGGCTGACTTTGGCCTGGAGTCCCTGTCAGTCACAGCTGAGCGATGCCAGCTCAGGGAGAGCCAGGATGTCCAGAAGACTATTACACTTGGCTGTAAACTCAAAGCCCCAAACTGCTTCCCATGCCCCTGGGGCTTGGAAGGTGTGGGTTCTATCCTGGCTCCGACACAGAGTTCTTGGGTAAAGATGGCAAGTCATTTAATGCTGACTTTGGCCTGGAGTCCCTGTCAGTCACAGCTGAGCGATGCCAGCTCAGGGAGAGCCAGGATGTCCAGAAGACTATTACACTTGGCTGTAAACTCAAAGCCCCAAACTGCTTCCCATGCCCCTGGGGCTTGGAAGGTGTGGGTTCTATCCTGGCTCCGACACAGAGTTCTTGGGTAAAGATGGCAAGTCATTTAATT